AATTCTGGAATAAAGGTGTCAATTTGACGAGTTAGATGTAGCAATATGTGGATCACAAGAGGGTGGGGGAGTATAATTTGCTGGAGACTTACAGTCGCGATTGACGATGAAGCAACCTTTAAGAAAGGCATATCCATTAGAGTCCAACCTCTTGAAATAATTCTTGCCATACAAAACTTTAGCTTCAAAAGTGCAGGTTTGGCCTTCTCTGTCTTCTTGAACTGCACGTGGACTAGAAAGCTCCTTAAATATGGCAAATCTGATGCCCCGGGCATGTGGACAAGGAGGAGTGAAATCATCAGGAAAGCAACCCTGCCCACTAATCACATAGCAGAAATGTCCATCTCCTAAGTACAACATCACAACATTCGTATGAAAATCACGTTGATGGCAAAGAGTCTTCAACATACAATCATCTGGACAATAAAGTATGGACAAAATTCCAATTGAGGAACCATCATACATATGTTCAAGCTCTTTCAGAGGTCCTAATTTAAAGGGCAATGGCATGGCATGGGAAGTGCGGAGGCCATATAAATATAGTCCCCCATTATCACAGTCAAAAGCATCAATGTGGCAAATGCGATATGGTAATGAACCGACAGTGAGCCAGTCATAGTACCACCTCTCATGGAGAAAGTCATAGACCATACAAGTAGTTCTCTCAAGACCTTGCCCCCTAATCAGGACCTTGTGTTGGGTTTCAATCACTGTAGCCCCATAAACCTCTCTAAAATATTTGAGGGGGCGATCGTCTAGAACTGTCCATTTTCCATCAACAGGGTTGAACCGTTCGAAGCATTTGATTGAGGTTTTTGATAACTTAGGATGGCACATAGCACTTCCCCCAAGCACATATAACATCCCATTGGCCACAAAACCGCAAGCATTAGGCTTCCCAGTTGACATTGAAGGAACTTGTTTCAAACCTTGATGCTGCGCATTAAGGTCAAAAACATAAACCCATGGAGAATAATATTGTTCTGTGACTATGATATCAATAACCTCAAGATCATCATCAATACCCTCAAAATCATCATCCGTGGAGGGGGGTTTATAGTAGCCACCGAAAAAATACAGCTTGGAGTCGAGCTGGGCACATCCCATCAAACAGGGATACTTGTCGTAGGGTATCTGCAAGACAGGAGAGGGAAACTCCAATTCTACCAACTGTAATTGTGACATCGGTAAAGATGGCAGCTTAAATTTGTACAACGTATCACAGTCCTTCCCCATGCTAAGTTCATGGTAAAATACATAGAGTTCCATAGTTGATGCGCCGCAGCAAATCCTAGAAACAAGATTAACCAAATATAAAACAAAACCTGAAATGAATAACAGTACCATGCAAAACAATACATATAAAAAATTGTAACAATTTCAGTCTAAAATTCCGACAAGTACTAAACATGGAAACTAAGCTAGGCCATTCACTGAGAAATTAACAAAATTGAGTTTACCTTCACTTGAAAATTTCAAAAATAAATCATATAAAAAATTACAACATTATGAACACCATTGCACATGAAAGAAAAAATAATAACAAGAATATATTTGTATTCAAATGAGTAATGACCATTGCATAATTAATTTACTCTTTTATAAATTTTAGGGCTTTTGTGCACCCGCATAGGCACTTGCACTTGAACTCGAACTATGTGATCTAGGATGGACCTAATACTCTCTAAATTATTTTGGGCTGATAGGCCAGGTTCCATCAATCACTAACACCGCCACAAAAACAAATCATAAAATCTCAAAATAATTACAACGAAAGAAAAGGCACGTGCATCAACAAGATCTATATCATCCAAACATAGATTTCACGAACAAGTTCAATCCAAAGTTGGAATCAATCATACGACTAATTAACAAATAGAAACTCATGAAATAAGAGGAGGAATGAAAATTCAATCAACAATTGATGGAACTTAAATCTAATTAAGAATTGCATTAAAAAATCCAAAAAATAATTTTTTTTACTTTACCGACGGGCCGTCGACGGTCGATGAAGAGGGGTAGAGAGAGCGTCTTTACAGTTCGGGAGCAAATCCCTAAAAGAAAGTTTGTATGGGTTGGAAATTTATGAGGGCCAGGAATAGATTTTATGAAATAAAGCACATTGCGCCAAGGCCCAATCCATCCTTTGTTGTTGATTACAAAGGAGGCTTTATTTCAAGCCCACAAAGTATGAAATACCCCTCTATGTCATTGATTCATCCTTTATTGCGCCAAGGCCCAAGAAATACACTTATATTTCACTATATATATATATATATATATATATATATATATATATATATATATATATATATATATATATATATATATATATATATAATACTACATCCGTCCGTAGGAATTTTTTAAGAATTTGAAGGGTCCTCCGTAGGAATTTTTTTACAGTAATTACTTTTACTATTCAGACAATTTTTTGTGGCATATATATTTTTAATAAAACTAAAAAACCTTGTAAATTTAAGTTAATTTTTAAAAGTAAAGTATTTCAACTAATTATATTAAATATTGTGTAATTAAATACATAAATTTATTATAACTCTTCAGATCCACCATTAAAAAAAGAAATCGAAAATTGTGAGAAACTACTAAAGGGGTGTAGAAATAGTTAAAGAGAAAAAAATGACATGCCATATCACAAGCCGGTTCTGAGGATTCATCGGTCTGGGCCGAAACAGAAAAAAGGCCTTAAAAGTCTTATCCGTCTAACAAATTCACATATGTAAAAAAATAAATGACAAAATTATACTCCCTCCGTTCATGTGTATTTGTCCAGTTTGATTTTTTCGAATCGAACTGGACAAACTTTGAGATTCAATTAAACAAAAAATGGTACTGTATTTTAGCATAAAAATGATTTTATTAGATTTATCGTATTGAGAACTTTCAAAATTGTGTTTCATTATTTTTATATGCAATATAAATTAAGAGTAATTGAAGTTCAAAGTTTGTCCAATTTGACTCAAAAAAATCAAACTGAACAAGAACACTAGGGTAGAGGTATTAATATTATAATTACATACCGTAAAAACTAGCCAAGGATACGAAAAGTTCTCGTCAATTGTTTTTTTCTTTTTCAGTTTTAATTTTTTTTATATATCATAAATTCATATCAAATCATCAATTTTCAGTTTTTAATTTTTTCTCTTTCTTTAATTTTTTTTAGTTTTCAGTTTTTTATATACAAATATATCATAAATTTAAATCAATTCATCCAAATCAAATAAGTATTCCGTAACATATAGAACCAATAATTCACCCTATTTCATAGCAAATAAAAAGAATTTCAAATTAAAAATTAATAATTAACCCTAGATTTTAAATCTAAAGAATGAAACAATGAAAAAAATTAAGAAATAAGAATTACAAAATTGGAAAGCTATGAATATAGAAATGCGGGGAACCTCGAGGCTGGAGCGTGAGGGTTGGCGTCTGGCTGTGCGTTTGGCGGCGGCGGCTTCTTCCGCTCTTCCGTCAGTAGTTCCCCGTTCGTGGTTGTCTAGCCTCTTTTGTTCGGTTCTTCTTTCGTGACTATGTGCGTAAGTAAAAGTGCGAGTAAAAGGATGGATTGGGGCATTGGGCTTTACATAATGGGTGGGCTTCTTATACATATATATAATATTTTTTAAAAAAAAATTGTGCCCCCTAAATTTTTGGGCCCGGCCCGGACGGACTGCTTGTCCCCTTATTGGGCCGGCCCTGCCATAACAATAGAAGGAGATGTAATAAAAGGAAAGTAAAAGAAACTACAAAAGATGCTCTACTATGTTTGTATTTACATCAAAAGAAAAAAAAAACGGAACACCCGGTCCTCCAAGCCTGTGTCATCAAAGATGATGAGGACGTAAAATGTGGAATGCGTCACAACAGGGCAGGGTCCAAGAGCTTGCTTATTATAGAGAGGGCATATTTACATACATCTTTTCTAAATTGTTCAAATAATAAATGGGATTTTGAAAAAAAAAATATTCATTTTTATTAGAATATATATATTCAGTCCTAATTTTTTTTATCTTCACTTCATTTATACTAATACTTTCAACGAATTAGTAAGATACCCTATTGTTAGGCAATAGAATCGTATTCATATTTGGTTTTCTGGTATGTGTCTGAATATCTGATTCTTCTTACATGGATATCTCTTTTCTTCTTAAGAGTCTTTACTTGTATAGTTTCTTTCCTAATAGGATTAGTAATCCCGGCTTTTGGGTTTCCAATATATATGTTTTGATTGTTCACAAGGAATACACAGAAATATTCTCCTAAATTATTCTCTAAAATCTAACATGGTATTAGAGCTAAAACACCCATAAATCCTTTTTTCTCTGTCCTGGCCGATCGATTTCAACCGTCTGACTCCTCTCTCTCTCTGTTGTAAGTTTTATTATTTCACTTTAATAAAATATTCACTTTTTCCATGCATTTTTAATATTTAGTATGGGTTAGGACTAAGATTAGGATGCTCCTCCAAGTCCTTATACAAGCGTTCAAAGGCTGCATTCTTTGCCCTCATGACCTCTATATAGTTTAGCTTCCTTACGGACAGCTTTATACTCTACTCGTAGAGACACCCTAGCCACCTCATCACCACAATAAACAAACCTTTGATAATCTACCTTCTTAGCTTCCACTTTGCTACGAACCACATCACGCACTCTACCACCAATCACCTTTATGTCGAGTCTCAGTCCCACTGGTCACTTCTCGCGCAGCTTTCCCTAATGCAAGTTGGAGTCTTATCTCACATGTTGTTGGCCTCCCCAATAGACTCCCACACACCTCTCTCTTTAACGAGAGCAACTAACTCTAGAATTTTTTCTTCATCCAAGCTCTCCAAGAGATACATGAAGGAATACATTATACTTTGCCCTCCCTTTCACCCTCCCTCTCAACATTTCCCTCTTTGGCCCATTTTAGTCAAATATCACAAATTTAAATAAAAAAATTGTATTTTGGGAAGTTGAATATAGTACTCCTCATTACTTTTCTTTCCTTTAATTTATTCTTTGAATTATTGGCCGGGGACTTTCAATCCAATCTCGTGATCCACTTCAACACAAAGACGACACTCTTTCAATTCTTACCCGTGAACTGATCACCTCAGATCCCATCATTTTTTTTAATTTATTCATTTATTTTTACTGCGGCCATTTCCCTGTCTTCTTCTTCTTCTTCAATCAAAAGCAGCTCTTGGATATATGGATGCCCCATACATCCATGCATTATTACATGCATCACCAATAACAGATTCAAACTGACTTTTCACCTTTTCCCATATTTATTGCTTGTTTCCACATGTACCCTATCTTCCATTTGCAACAAAAAAATACATCTTCAATTTCTAACAAAAATGTACCCCATCTTTAAAAAAAATGTAACAAAAAAATACCCCTTGCCTGAATTTTGGAAATCGGGCCGATAAGTGCACATGTGGCGTTCCATTTGGCTTTCTAGTGTACATGTGACATTCCATATAACTTCCAAATTAACTTGTAAATTATTCTATAATTGATTAACTTTGTACTTGACACATATAAAGTCAAATATTTTAAAAAAATTTAAAACTATATTTTACTGACACAATCTAATTTTTTTGTTCTAATGAAAGTATATTTTATATTTTTATTTTATTTAACCCGTGCTTTCTAGAAATTTTTTATTTTTATTTTTGTATTTTGAAAAATTTATAATTTACAATGTACTTCATATTTTAAACATAAGTAGCAAAAACTTTTTAATAATTGTCTATAATGTAATTTTACAGATTTTTTTGGAATTTTTTAAATTTAAATTCTATAAAATATGTATTTTTATTATTATATATTACTCCTACGACTATCATCATCATCATTATTATCGGATTTTGTTGTTACCTGTAATGAGTTTTTATAAGTCATCTAAGTATTTTTTTTTAAAGAGACATTCATGCAACATCATGTTTAATTTATTTATCTACTCAAATTCTAACTCCAAAAGGTAGTAAGTATTTTACAATTTAAATAAATAAGATATTTTGCCCTATATCTTACAATATAAACTATTATTTAAAAGTAATTGCTAGACTGTTTAATTTGTTACTCCATTCCAACCTTCACATCCATAATCCATATTCCAACCGTCTCCAAATAAACTTATTAAACTGAATTTTCTTTTGATTTGTTTATTTATATAATTATTCTTTAATTATTAATTATAGTACATGCTTCAATCTAATGGTAAGTTAAGAATAATAAAAATGTGTAGCAGTTTGTGAAAAAAATTCAAACGGTAACGAAGTTTTTGGGACATGGGAGTCAATCATGTACTCCATGAGTATAATATAGTACTCTCTCAATTCCTAAAAAAAGTTTTCTATTTTATTTTTTACGCATCTCATAAAATAATACATATATCTCAATTGAAATGTTTAAAGTACCCCCTAAAACAACATCTACCAGCAATAAAGGAGAAATGGTAACGAATTTTAGATATCATAGACGTGTGATAGATGTGTTTTATGAAATGTGTAAAAAATGAAGCACAAAAATTTTTTAGGAACCGAGGAAGTACGTTTTATTTTCCCTGTTGACATTATTCTTTAGAAATGGAGTACATACTATATATAGATTACTTGAATCCATTCTTTTTAACTTATTTTTAATTAAAATTATATACGTTAACTAGTTATCAGTTTGGAGTTATTATCATCCATTTGCATTCATTTTCAAAGGCACAATATTTTAGAATTTTCCATTATCAAACGTTAGAATAAATAAAATCGGTTCTATTTTAAGAAAACTTATATGCATGTTTAAGTTCTATGTGCATGAATTACCGTTGAAATTAGCACCACCATTATTAACCAAATGGCTGAAGTAATATGTTGATTAATTATCTGAAATAACCAAAATTATTATGAGATTATTAAATAATGAAATTTTAGTGCGCTAAAAGACAACAATAAATAAATACATCCGGAGCAGAATTAATACTTCCGCGGGTTCCAGCAACCACCATTATTAGGCCGACAATCTGATGTTAACATGGGCCGGCTTTACCACCAAATCAACAAAACATCAAAACACAAAACACTCTCACTCCGAAATAAATTATGATTTTTTCTCTCTCCCTCCCCGATAATTTATATTTATTTGTGTGTTTTTATTGATTATTAGATAAAATAAAATATTTTTAATTCTTTATCACCTCTTATTTCGTAGAGTTTTAACATAACTAGGGTCAAAATACATATTTTTTTATTAATATATCAATTTGAGAATAAAATGATTACAAAAGATGAAAGGTTTGTCTCTTAACTCCCTCCCACACCCACCATACCAAACATATTTTTATCAGTACTCAACATCATACCACTTTATATTCCATCATTTTCCATAACCCTCTCATACCAGATAAGGCGTGTTTGGACTTTGGATATTGGTTTTTCTATTAGCTTTTAGTTTCTTTGGTTGAATTTGACTATTTTAACCAATCAAACAACCAAAATCATTGTTTGTCAAATTACTTTTTCACTTAGTTGCTCAGCTCAAAAAGTCAAAATCTGAATAACCAACTAGAGTAACTTTTGGACTTGGTTGTTATTAGGAAAAATTAATATTTTTATTATTTTTATTTGTAAATAAATGTAAAAAAATTTAAATTAAAAATTTGAAAATTAACAATTAAAAAGTCAAAAATCAAAATTTAAAATTTAAAATTATATTATTAATTAAAATTAAGAATTAAAAAGATAAAACATAAAATAAATGAAATGAATAAATAAAAATCAAAACTAAAAACAAAAAGTAGAAAAATAAATTCTTAAAAAATCAGAAATAAAATAATAATACTTGTTCCGTCCAAAATTGACTTAGTTGTAAATAAAACTCACATCATAGATGTCATCTCATTTAACTATCTTATCGCATCTAATTAGAAATTCTAGTATTATTAATTTCTATGGATTACATGAAAGTATATTTTGTCATATTAAAAATTAATTTTGGGTTTTTTCTATTTTTTTACTCCTATTTTAGTCTTTTTTCCTAAAAAAGTGTCACGTAAATGTATGGTTAATTATCACGACACTTTTGAGTAGACTTTTCTGGGTTTTATCTATGAAAATGGGTAGAAATTAAAAAAGGGATTTGAAAGTTCTTTTTTTGTTTGTTTTTAGGAGAAGATATTTGAAAGTTCAATTAATGGAACGTATGAATTGGGTTAATAACATGGGCACCCCATGTGGTTTACAAAAAGGGCGTCAAACCTCCCCTGTTTTCAAAAGTTATTTGTAAAGTCCATATGGTTTCTAAATAGAGCACACATGCCCCATTACCTATTTTTAAAGCAAAAATGACATTTATGCCCTTTGTTTTCCCCGATCTTAAATTTTTCCGATTTTAATTTCCTTTATTATACAAATATATAAAATAAAATATATGCTTCCCATCTCAAATTAGAATTTTTTATAATGTACTTTTGAAAACAAAATATTTTTTGGAGAATGTTACAAAAAAATGAAAAATAAAATATTATGTACAAAGTAAAAAGTAATAACAGTTAAAAAAAGTAATGAAAAGAAATAAAAATATAAAAAATGACATTTTTATTATATTTCTCTTGTCACTAAATATTTTTTTCGTGCTGACTTGGAACGTTTATTAGAAGTCGAAAAAAAGCACTCTCTGCTTCAATAAACTCTTTCTATTTACTATTCAAGACATTACGTTAACTTTTGTTTGCAGGTTTTTTTATTAGTCATTTGACGAAACAAAATATTCTTATCACCACTTGTTTTGTATAATTTTTTATGTAGTTTACAAATATGTAACTTTTACTTTTTCTTTCTATACAAATTTGTTAACAAACTCATTTAAAGAAGGATGAGGTTTTGCATGAAAAAACGAAATAGGAAGTGTTTATTGAAATGGAGGTATTATTAAACTTTCAATAATGCTTTTTTTAATTTGGAGTGAATTAATTTGGGTGGGTGGGTGTTAAAATGGAAGCATTTTATTGAAATTTACTTTTAAATATTAAGCTAAAAAAGGAAATAGAAAGACTATATTCGAATGAACCAAAAAGAAAAAGTTAGAAGAATGTATTTCCAGGCCAGAGTGAGTAATCCCTATTATTGTTGCCGAATTAAGGCTTCATTTGCAAATAATGGGTATAATTCATTCTTAGACGGTTTTATGGTGATATGTATTAAATTTGAAGGCTAAAGAAACCAACTTACATTTCTTTTTGTTTGATATTTCCTCCATTCTATATTAACTATCCAGTATGACTATTTTGATACACTGAAAAACTGATGAATGTAACTATAATTTATGTCTATATTCCTTCATTTTTTAATATAACAAAAAAGTCTTAATAAATACTTCCTCCGTTCCATAAAATCCTTCCGGTTTTGACTTTGGGGAAAAATAAGGAAAGTGAAATTTTGGTTTACTTTCCAATTTTGCTCCTGATGTGATGGGAAAAAGTAATATGTAATAGTTTGGTTATTAGTGAAAAAGTATGATGTGATAGATAGGGTATGAAAAAATAGAGGTAAAAGTGATTTTTTTAATGAAAAGTGAAAGTGTTATGTGTAAAGCAGAAAAAACACATAGTGCATCAACCAAGGAGCAAGAAGCGAAAAAGAAAAGCCTTGAAAGGTTATTACAAAAATACAATGGACAAAATTAGAAGAAATCACGTACCTATATAGCAATAAAGGGAACAAACAATAAGAGATTTTGTTTAGCGAATATGAATCCATATACCTTGGCTAGGTACATTCTGATGAACCACAAAGAAGAGGTAGTATCCCGGCGGTGCTACGCTCGGCGACGACGGCGCCTTTACCTCTCTTTGGTGGTATGAGGTGTGCTGGAGGTGTACTAATCACATGGTCAAGATACATGTGGCGTTGGTTCATAGAAAACGAATGCGTATTAAACGGTGGCGCAACCATTGTCACGGCGATCTGATCGTGGTCAACTTCCCCCGCGGCGTGGAATAGAACGGGGAATGTGTCTCCGTATCGGAACCTTGCTTGTGAAGCGGGGGTTACAATGCTCGGGCGTTTGCTCGCCGAGGACGGATCTGTTAAATACGAGGGCGAGAACGCCTCTAACCTCAACTCCTTTGGCAAACCATCGTCGTCTCTGGAGGTGTTGTACATGTGGGGGTTGCTGCCGCCAACGAGAACGCGACCATCTCGAACCAAAATCGCCGTCGATGGGTACGATCTCGGTATGGTGCTCGGTTCTTGTGAAAGGAACCGGGAACCTGCCGGCTTGTCGGGTTGGTAAAGAACCGGTGTCTTAACCGGGTCTCCCCTCATGTTCCATAACGCATACCCAGACGCCGCCCCGTTGATGATGAGGATTTCTCCGTTTGGTAAGATGACCATGTCACCCATCAATCGGGCCATGGGCATCTTTTCCATTTCCCATTTCGGGTCCTGGTCGGTTATCTTGATCCGCCCGCAGTAAAGAAACATTTCCAGATTTGAGATATGCGTCTCTCTGTGCCCCGCCGCAGACCAAGACCTCAACGGCGATACTAGCAGCCGGAGCTGACGACGCGTTCTTTATCGGGAGAAGAACCGCGGAGCCTGTGGACGGGTAAGACCGGGGCCCGGTCGGAATATCGGGGTAGTTCTTCACGACTGCGCCTTTAGTGTAGTCGAACAAGATGGACCGGTTGGTGGCGAAAATGAAGAGATTCCCGTCGACGTTAAGGAAAACAAAGGGTTATCCTTGGTATCGGTCATTTGGATCGTGGAGAAAGGGGAGATCGGGAGAAGTACTCTGGTCGGAAGGGTAGAACTCGTAGCTGATAGTATTTATGCCGCCGACGGTGATGTGCCGGCCGTCCGGTAAGACTTGCTTTGTTGCGTACATCCGCACCGGATCGCCCTGATCAGTCCCCTCCCAGTCGCACGTTTTGTCGTCGCAAGGCCGGAAGCGTGCTTCCAGCGTATAGCCGGTTTGGATTAAGATGCCGTCGGGGGTGACTTGTTGGGAATTGAACACACAACACACACAGATATCTGTGAGAATCAAGAGAGAAACGGAACACAAACGACACACAAGAATTTAACGTGGTTCAGTTTCCCTAATCCACGGCTTCTTATTTCACTTGTGGTGTCGATTACAAGTACAAGTATGCAATATATATAGGAAGAGTGCATCTAGGGTTTCGTAACATGGGCCGGGCCAAAAAAGTCAAGCCCGAGCCTCCACAAACCCAACATGACGGCACCGGAGGCACAACAGATGGTTGTCGGGTTATTGAGCGGGCGAACGGAGTTGGAAGCGACGTCGTACTCGACGGAGCGGGCGGTGCATTCGGCCGGACTGACGGAGCAGTCTATGCCGGGGATGACAAACTTGGAGGCTCCGAAACCGACGCGGTCGGAGATGACGACGCGGTCGTTGTGAAGGAGCTGCATGTGCACCGCCACTATCCCCATGTCGTTCTGCACTACGTCCCACCCTCCTCCCGTGCCCTTAGAGACGACGGCCGCATCCACAGCGCCGCCGAAGAAACTGCCAGCGCCGGCCGCCAAGCACCATAAGAGGAAAAATAATGGATTCATCGCCAGTTAATCTCGATGTCACTCATACCCCAATTTGCTCCTTCACTCCCCTTTTATAATAAATAAAGGATATATGAACCAAAATAATAAAAGTATAACGAAAGTGTCGCGTAAGAGCGTTCGAATTCTGACGAAAAAGTGATGAGGCTGCAATATGATTGTTTGATCAGTTAATCGTACATCGGCGAACTACCGGTCAATTTCAGCTATCGGTGGCACTCCTGTCGCCGGCTACATCGGATTAACACTATGACAGTGATAGTGAGTAATTCATAATTGTAGTTTAAGAGTGTAACAATAACATTGTAAATTCATATTTTCATCCTAGAATATTCAAGACTGTTATTTTAATGTTTTAAAAATGTTATACTCCTATCAAATTAATTTTCCTAGTTTACATGGAGTATTCCGTAGCGGTGAACGAGTCTTTGGGTCTTCGACCGCATATTTGATTCCGGTCAAATTGATTCGCATATAGAGTATTTCGTACGTTATTGTGACTTTCAAATTCTTTTTTACCCAACTCTAACAAGCCTCAACAACAACATAACACGTAGTACCTCTTGTGGTAGTTTATCCTTGAATCAATCTAGCAATCTCTCATGAATCACTTTGACCCAGTCTTCGCACACCCATTTTTCAAGCCGGCATTTTTATTTTGTTTTGTTATTTATTTGATAAAATAATATTATATAATTATTCAATATTATTTTTTGTAAAATTTTGATATTTTTTTTAATTAATATATACATTTTATTTTTTCACATCAGTTCTTAAAAAAATACAATTAAAAATATTTTTAAGAATCTCCCAATTACAAAATATTAATTATGTTGGCTTTTATTTAATTCTTGCTAGTGGTTAGAAAATAAAATAAAATACCTCCTTCATTTTTATCTACCTAAAATGTCTAGAAAGCCCTCAAAACAACTTATACCTATAATAAAATTTGGGGGAAAGAATGGTCACCCCGAGGCCCTAATGTTAGGGCTATACCATGGGAACGGGTTTAGGCTATTTAAGCCTTGAATGTCGTCCTTGGTGATGTGAGGTGTGCAAAGAAGAAAAAAAAAGGGTAAAATTAAAGAGATTTTGAATTTATTTAAAGGGTTAAATATCTTTTTAATCCCTATAAAATATGTGAGTCATGTTTTTGACTCCCGTAATTTTTTTTGTTTAAGTCATCATCTTTACAAAAGTTTTTATTTTGAAAATGGCCCTTATACATTATTACGATTTTTAATTTGTTGATATGACACATTTATTTCATACTCATAAGCTTAGTTTTGCATTTCTCATTACTTCAGACACAATTCGCATGCCCTAAATTGTTCTTTTTACCAAATTACATCTCCAATTCTCATATTTTTATTATATTATATTCATAATAATTAAATATTTATCATCATTGGACATTGTTCAAATTAAATATTCATCATCACTGGACATTGTTCTCACCACTAGACATAATTAAAAAATAAAAAAGTGTAGGTACTACATTGAGAAATGACATATGTTTTACTACTATTTAGTGCAAATTTCACTATATTAAAACAATGTTATACTCCGTATATAAAAATTAAAAGAAAAGTAATGTAAGTGTAAAAAAGGAGAGAGGGAAAGTGAGAGAACAGGTAATGACTAATGACGTTTAAATCCTTCTATTTACAACAGCAGCAGGAAATTTGTCCCGCCTAAAAGTTTGGGCCGGTTACTGTAGCAGTGGACCGAGCGTTTTCTAAAGCAAATCTAATTATTGGGCTGCGTTATTCTTTGTTGGAATATACTTAATATTTTCAGTTTAAAATTTTAGTAGGATTCAGTTTCAAACATTAAACACAATATAGTAAACAATCACTTCTCAAACATCACGCCACTTTTTAAACTAATATTATTAAAATCCATCTTAAAATTAAATCCATAAATTTTAAGCAAATTAACATACAACCATTATTCTTAAAGACCTTTTCTGAATTATTACAAAAACTAAGGTAATGATATTAAAAAAATATTTTAAAAATGTTTTAGTAATTTTATTATGGGCAGTTTCCATAAATAAAGTAAAAAAAGATTAAAAAACTCCCCACTCCGTGCTGCAAAAAAATTGGAAACTCAATTATATTTTTCATACAAAAAGAAAAACAAATAAAAACAATTAAAAATCAACTGCCTGTACGTGGTTTCACACTTCTCCACTTCCCATAAAACCTGGGCAGCAACCACCCACTCCTGCACCACCTCTCCTCCAGACTTACTGCAGTATAAATTGGGCGTATGGTTCCACACTATTATCACAACAATCAACTCCCAGCCTGCAAAGGAAGAACACAGAAAAATGTCAAGTGCATCAAGTGGAAGTGGTGGCCTCTGGTCAAGTTTGAAAACTTTGGATGACCGCAAACAAGATTGGGCCATTTGCGTGAGAGCTGTTAGAGTTTACAACGTTCCTACCCGGGATGGAAAAGAAAACACCATGAAAATTATTTTCCATGATTCAGAGGTATTTGTATAAAACACATTAACTGAAAATTTTGTATAGGGTTATGTTAGAAAGTATAAGCATGTTCTTTTCTGATATACAGGGTGCCAGAATTCATGCCCAAGTTAAGAGAGCACAACTAGAAGATTTCAAACCCAAAATCAAAGAAGGAAAATCTTGTGCACTCAAAAATTTTGTGGTTAACAAAAACGACCAACCCTACAAAACCACAGACCACCCATATACTTTGTGTTTTTATAAACACACAGCCTGGAAGGACATCAGTGCATATCGTTTTCCCAGCTTTATGTCCAAGTTGTGCCCTTTTGAAAAATTATTAGAACCGCTATCCGAAAGCCGGCTTACTGGTAAGAGAAATTCAGATTTGTTATTCATGTCTTATTTATCATACTAATCTTATTCTATTTAATTTGAATTGCAGATGTGATTGGAAAAGTTATTGCAAGGACAAACATCCAAATCCGTATGGTTCGAGGGGAACCCCAAAGAACATTAGAGCTGACTTTGGAAGATGGAAAGTGATGCTTATTCCTAAATAAAAGAATTATTTCTCTTTCAATATAATATTTTTTAATTAACAGAGGAAATTTCACTTCATAGAGGACAAAAACTTCGGTGCACCCTGTGGGAGGACTACATTGACAAATTTAACAAAGCGGTGGGAGCAGGAATAACAAATCCTATTCTACTGGTGAAGTTCTGCCGTGCAAAAGAATTTCTAAGTACGGGTTTTAAATCATTCTGCTTCCATAATATGAGTTTTGAATCATTCATTTGGTTTCTCATATTCTGTTTTCTGTTTTTGTTTTTAAATAATTATATACGTGCAGAAGAAATTCAAATAACCACATCCTTCCATGTCACTCAACTAATACTGGACAATGAATCGGAAGAGGCAAAGAAATTTCTCAAAACATTTAAGACCGAGGTTGATGAGTGCAGATCCTCAAGCACATTTACTCTCACACAAAGTAGTGAGGGGACAGAAGACACCAGTAGAAACCTAAAGATTACTAGCATTCACAACCTACTTAATGAAACTGAGGTTGGACAAACTACTTGAAAAAATTCTTCCCTACTTTTACTGGAATTATATTTTAACTGATTTTGGTGAATAGGATGGTTATTTCTGGATTATGGCTGACATTGTCACTATTGAGAACTACAATGACTGGTCCTATTTGAGTTGCAAAAACAAAAACTGTAGTCGAAAGATAGTACAAGATGGTGATGTTTTTCAGTGTCTTCAATGCCAAAATTCTATGTCCACCGGGGAGTACAGGTATGATAATTAATTAAATCTAAATTCTTCGAGATTTTATTTCAAAAATATTAGTCATACTTCAGAGTTATTTCAAAAATATTATTCTTGCTTAATGCCAGATTATTGATATCAAAGTTCTCCGTCCCTTTAATGACTAGGTACAAAGTTGCAGTGACTATGAAAGACCCCTCAGACACTGCAACGTTTGTTCTTTGGGACAAGGAGTGCAAGGAGATGATGGGTATGTCCGCCACAAAAATGAGAGAGATTATGATCAAGGTTTTCTGATTATTGAATCAAAAAAATGTTTTTCATTAAGAACAATTATTACCCCATTGATAATGTAAAAATTGTTTTTGTTAAATATATATAATATATTTAATATTATTATATTATTATTGTTACCATATTTGTATAGGTTTCCTAGATTGTCTCTCCTACCTTAATTAGGATTGAGACTTTTGTATATATACATGTACTCTCCTCACAATTTAATCAATGAAAATAATTCTTCTTCATGGTATCGGAGCCTAACCAAAAACCCTAATTCTCCCTCTCTGACTTTCGGCCTCCCTCCTCCCTCGCCGAGACACCAGCGCCGCCGCCACTCTCCCTCTCTCTAGCACGGCCGGCCACCCCTCCTCTCTCTACCATGGCTGAAAGCGAGATCACCTCTCAATCTACCACCCAAAAATCTCCACATCTGGCTTTCTCTGTTTCTCATGTCAAATTACATGTCCCTATTCAACTCAGTTTTTCTCAACCAAATTACAAGAAGTGGAGCCGCTTATTCCTCCTCCTTGCCCGGCGGTTCACCCTCCGCGGCTACCTTGACGGGTCTATTGTCCCAATCTCAAAAGATGATGATGAATGGTACCAAACTGACGCCATTCTCCAAGGCTGGATTCTTTCCACTATTACTGATGAAGTCTCTGATCTGGTTTTGACCTCTGCCTCCTCTGCCTCTGCTCTCTAGAAGATGATTCATGATCTGTTTCACGACAACAAGCATGCTCGCGCCATGCAGCTCGAGCACCAATTCCGTACCACAGTCAAGGGATCCACCCCCATGGCCTCTTACTGTCAAGAACTCCGGAATATTGCGGATTGGCTGGACGATGTCGACGCCCCCGTTTCGGAGCACCAATTGATTCTTCAGATGTTACGCGGCCTCCCCGAAGATCTCCAGGCTCAGACCTCGTTCCTCCAATTTCAAGATCCCATGCCGAGTTTTCTCCAGGCCCGGTCGGCCCTCCTCCTCCTTGACCGACAACGGACCCCCCCTGTGCAGCACTAGCAGCACGGCGCTGCTGGCGGGGCATGGCGGTAGCAGCTACGCAAGCGGACAGCACGGTGGGACTGGCGGGCGCGGCTCTCCTCACGGCAGCAACTCCGGCGGTGTGGGACAATTTTTTGGCAGCAACTATGGTGATGG